TAGTCCTTCCTTACGCAGAATTAGGCTGCACTTCATAGACCAGGAAACGTAGTTTGTTCCATCCAACCGGGTTATCAGAAATATGTTGGTGACTGTTCTTGTGCCATCTTCACTTAAACAATAAACTACAAAAACAGCTGTCTGAATATGGTACTGTGTATTTACACTAACTCTCAATATCCTGGGCCCATAACCAATGTTGAGGAATTCGCAGAGCAACCCTTGAGCAGCAAGGGTGTGCACATGAAAAGCAATTGTGAGTAATTAGGAAATAACACAGCCAACACACAGATACACTGAGTTGTGTTTACTTTCGGGAAATAGTAATAAGACACAGTCCAATAAACAGTCCAGGTCATACACAGATAAAGCAGTAGATATTGTCAGGGCGCTGATTAATCCCATTCTGCCTTTGGGATAATCGCACGTTGATTAAGAGGGGTGGATCAAGACCTTTCCTTGCCAGCATACTTTAAGAAAACAAACCCGAAGATATATCTTCTAAGAAAACTCATTTATTTGTTATAAAGAAAATAAAACATCTAACTAGCTAAAATTTAATTGTTACATTTTTGCAAAAGTTCTTATCGGCTACTTCTCATCAGCCGGATGTCTCTTGGCAAGAGAAGAAAAGAAAAAGTGTGAAGGAATGTGGGTGGAGAGACATGCGCAATTTAGCTTACTGATAAGGATTCTTGGCAAACTACGGAAAGTCTGATAGTCCAGAATGAGAGCTCAGCTGGTAAATAAAAAAACGCAGTGACAAAAGAATAGTTCAGGGATAATCCAATAACAAAGTCTTCTTACCAGTAATTGTAGTCATGCACATTAACAGTTGTTCTGTATTTGTAAATAACATTTTATATAAATTATGTAAACAGTATCCAAATTTAAAGAACATCAGCTTAAAATGTTTGCTCACTTACTGTCTAAACACATTTAATTTCAATCCTGAAACTTGAAAACCCTTTGAATTTCCTGGCTATGCTTCTCTGAGTTTGGATCTTATTTACATTTTATCTTTTAAAAATGTATCATAATTTGCATGTTAAGAATAATAAACATTTTTAAAAAATGTATAACCTATGTGTGAGGGTAAAATGTCTGTCAATCATATCAAATTGCTAAAAGTGGGAGGGGAAATATTAGGAATATTTGCTGCTTTGAATTATATACAGTATACAAATTTGGGAGAGTCCACAATAGAGGAACCCAGCACATATTGCAGGTAGTCCTTGACTTACAACCTCAATTAGGTCCAGAATTTCCTTTGTTAAAGAAGGCAGTTAAGTGAGTGGCATTTAATGTCCTCTTTTCCCAGGTTGTTAAGCGAATTGCTGCAGTAAAGTGAATCATGTGATTGTTAATAGCAATAGCACATAGACTTACAGAATATACCACTTCATACACTGTCCAAGCAGTTTACAAAGTCAGCATATTGCCCCCAACAATCTGATTCCTCATTTTCCATAATAAGGAATCTAGTTATTCTGCAGCTTCACTACTAGGTAATAATTCATTTATTACTATTAATATAGTATGTCCTGCTATATTGTGAATTTTTAGGGTATTATGCAAAATTTCCAAGTCATCTCAGTGAATACCAGCTCATTCCTTTTACATGGGACAGAATGCCTGCTATTGCCTAGAAGAGAAGACTCTTCGGGATGGTAAATATGGCAGCAGATAATGTAACCTGCAGTCCATTAATCCTCCAAGACAAATTCTTTCCATCATGGATCAAGGCTGCCGAGTCCAACCTTGCCAAATCAAGCTTCTGACCAGCTTCAATACTCAAGGTGGACTATGACTTAGCAAGACAAACCTTCTGACAAAGGGTGGAGGACATCAAGAGGCAGGCGGAGTTAGGGAAAGCTCTGCTGTTTCTGTCTCCAGATGCCATTAGATGTGTTGTTGCTCCTGCCAGCTATCTTAGTCAGTTGGAGTCAGCAAACCACTGGAAAGCATTTTCACTCACACAGTGCCCTGCACTTCCATCGGCCATCCTGTACTCCAAGTATAAAAGAATACCATTACAGAAAGATTCTGTTCCTGTGGCTCAGGAAAGGTGGAGATTGTGGGTCACAAGATCCTTAGATGTTCCTTTTACACAGAGATTAAGAAAAAACATATTCTGCCAATAACTGCTAGGTATTGTGGCTGTTCCGGGACTACCTATCTTCAGTGGCTGCTTAAGGATGAACGGTCCATCATTACAGTGCAGGTGGCAAGATTCTCTGCAGCAGCATTGGGGATTCGTCACAAGCACATGTCTTCTCCACCATAGTTATGTTATATAATAAATGTGGCAAACCCTTTGCACTGCTTAGTCTTTTCCCTTTTAGTGTTGAACTACAATGGGCCACCAAGATTGTAATTGCAGTATAGTTAGACCCTGTATAATTGGAAGACTGGGTTTTATTATAGATTTTAGTTGTTATTTATTATTTTATGTATATTTACTGAGCGTTTTTATTTCTTTTGGTCTCTGGTCTAAGACTGTAATAAATTGATTGAGAATGTAACCAGCAAAAGTGATAATCCATTTCTCACAGTGCTAATACTATACAATGTTTCATTACTTTTACATTACTGGTAATTCTACTACATTTTATTCTGTTAACTGGATGCATAGTGCTTATTTGTTGCCCTTTGGCTGTATTACAGAATTCATTCATTCACGATTTCTAATAGGGTTTTTTATAAGTTTGTGCACTTAGAAGATTTGATAGATGGATCAGTGGGATACTTATGATGTGGTTAAGCTACCCAGGCACACATCTTTTGGTTACGTGATTGTATTTTGGGCATTTGGCAACTGACTCACCTTTATAGCAAGTGCCTGGTGGTCCCATGACCACATGGATCGGCGACAGTGGGGGAGTGGAAGGGTTTGTGCACTCAATCTAATCTCGTGCATATGCAAATGAAGCTTTGCATGCTCATCTGACACTTGCATGGCCCAGTTCCCAACAGACCATGGACTGATACTAGGCCACGGACCAGGGGTTGGGGACCTGTGATGTAAAGAGTCTTATCACCATACCAACTGTTAAATAAATTTGAAAGCAACATAATCAAATGCTCTTTTATTTCAATTTTGATTACGTGAAAGACTGCAGCAAAATAAGAATTATATAAAGTAAATATCATTTGGAAATATTTGAGTTACATAGAATCAAATTGCTTGATTAAATGATGATCACAAAAATAAATATGTTGCTCATTCTAGCACAGTTGTACACTTGCTATTATAAGCCAAGCTACAGCGACAGCTAGCCATGATGTCACTCAAATGAAAAAACATGATGTCACAATGGAAGCTGAGCTGACTGTATTGTATCATCATATGGAAATGTACACTGGCAAATACATAACTACATCTGTGTTGTAATACCTTGATTCATGCTTAGCAACTATTCCCTATAAACAAAGCAATTTTGCAGGATTTATCTACCAATCATAACACTTGTACTCAAAACTTATTATCTTGATTTGATTAAAAATAATTCTGGAAAGAAAGAATTAAAATCAGGGGTGAAATGCTCCCGGTTCCGACTGGATCGCCCAATCTGGTAGTGATGGCGGCGGGTGGTTCGGAGAACCGGTAGCAAAAATCCCTGCATGCCCCCCCCCTCACCATGCCCAGCTGAGCTGCATAATCCTCAGAGGCTTTTTTTTTAACTTTTAAAAGCATTTTTAAAAAATAAAATTTAAAAAAGCCTCTGAGGATCGTGCGGCTCAGCTGGGATCATCAGAGGCTTTTCAAAGCTTTTTTTTTTCTGCAACCTCTTGGCCGCAAAGGTGGTAAAAAAAATGCTTTGAAAAGTCTCTGATGATCCCAGCTGAGTTGCCTGATCGGCAGAGAGGCTTTTCAAAGGATTAGAAAAAATGCTTTGAAAAGTTTTTTTCAAAAAAAGTTGGCCATGCCCACCCAGTCACATTACCCTCCCCACCAAGCCACGCCCACAGAACCGGTAGTAACAAATTTTACATTTCACCCCTGATTAAAATCCAGTATTATGGAGTATTACAAAGGAACTATCTCTACCCCAATTACACAGAAGATCGTAAGTGTGGTAGTGAAAGTTTAGTAGCACAATGTTTAAACAAATCTGATGAGGAAATAAGGATCAGAGCCATTGTGCCAACATATGCTGGATGCACCCATTATGGAGAACTATACCTACCGATGAACAGGATGTTCTTTCCAGATCGATTGATAACCAAAAAGTCGAAGGGATGGTCAACTTTGAATTCGTCTACAACATTTGTACCCTTAAATATCCCTATTACAGCAGTGGCAGCAGCTGCCTCAGTGCCTTCTTCGTTGACTTCTATGAATGATTTATGAACAACTTCAGATATGACTAAATCATTGTTAGTTGACATTCCAGAGAAGTCTGCCTTGTCCTCATCAAATGCATCCGTCATTCCCATGCTTCTCAGAACAGGCTTCAGGTCATATTTTTCTTCCAATTTAAATTTGGGAAGAGAGAGTTCAATTTCTCTTAGGTCCATCCTCTCTGGATTGATCCAGTCCATGAGTTTCTCATATGTAATTTCTCTCTCCAGCTAAAATAAGATGAAAAGCATTAAAGGAGAAAGAAATTCCTAGTTATGACACTATGATTTATTCTGATACTAACGCAAGTATGATGCAGGTGCTCACAATGACAGAAAAATCCTGAAATCTTACAAACACTTACAAATTCTTGTACTTCCTAAAACATTAGGAAAGATAACTAAGTCACAAAAATAGTGTAGACCTTCGGACCCAGGAGAAAAAGTAGGAATATAAGTGTAACTTTACTGTCTATTCAAAGTAACTCAATTGTTTAACCAACAGCCCAGACAATTGTATATATATTACATCAGAGAAAACTCACGTGCTGATAAGAAATATTTTTATAATTTATTCATGTTAGAATTAAATTTTATACCAATTTTCATTCCAGAAAACCCAAAAAATTACAATTATGCCTAAAGCTAAAAGGAATGCTAAAAGAAAAGTAAACAATGAGGCCTAGTTTGGTATAGTTGTTAAAAGCACTGGATTATAAATCATCACTCTGATCTGAATTATCAGATTTGGTGATTTGGGGCCAGTTATATTCTTTTAGCTCTAGGAAGCAGGCAAGGGAAAACAACTTCTGAAAATGTTGCCAAATAAACTACTTGCATTTCTCCACAGTTGCCAGAAGCTAAACCTTACTTGAAGACAAATATCCATGCAAAAAAATACCTCAGCTATATGAACTTGTTTGTTCTTTCCTTCAAGCTATGAATCTTGATAGCTATTTTAACATGAAACAGTATAAACTGAAGAATCAAAAACTGAATCCCCTGCATTTTAATAATATCAGAAGAAATACTGTACATTATTGACAACCTTATCAATTGCCTTGTACACAACAGCTACAGATGGGATCCCCCTTTGTATACAATACTTTGAAATATAAATGCATTCGCTGGTGTTCTTTAGACTTTTTTTTTTTGCATCTTTTCAAAATAAGGGAAAATACAAGTCAACCCAATAGTACTAACTATAATTGCAGAAAGCCAAGCTTCAATATTAAAAAGAACAGCGTACAGCTAGTACCAGAGATGGACAAGGGCTTAAATTCTGTTTTATGAAAGCAAAACTCACCTTTTCCAATCCAGTAGAGTTATCTTCAATCTCATCAGGGAGCAGAATGATCATGCTTAAGTCATCATCATAATATGGAAGCTCAAGAACGGAAATCCGATCGGCCGATATGTGAGCCATGTTATATTCTCCTTTCCTGAACATCATCTGCACTATTTTCGTTTCATTCTACAAGTGGGAAAAGTATGTTAGAAGAAATCTTTCATATAAATAGGAAATGCAAATAATTCTATCATGGATTTATCCTTACGGGTTTTTTCCCTCTGCTTAAATCTTTCATTTTTTGTGTTGAATTTTTAAGAGAAACTGAGGATTTATATGAGCATTTTCATGTCTCAGCCATCCACCAGATTTTCCACTCTTTATACATAGTGATAATTTACTTTTCACAAAATTTGAATAATTTTAGAATATTAAGAAATAGATTTAAAAAACAGATAAAGATTATGACCTTTAGAAAATCAAATTGTCTATTCTGTGAGCAAAAGAATGCAATGAAACACAGGTCTGTGGTTTTAATCAGCAGTTTTCTCAAATGAACAGATGTCCATAATATCAAAACTAGCCTTCTTTGTGGAGAGCAACATAGAAACATATTTTGCCTGTTCCTCCTCCATCAAATACGTCCAGGTGATAATACATAATAGATCCATATAAAAAGGAAATATATTCACTAATCACTCCGTAGTTTTTGCGGCTAATCACATAGAATTAGTGGGAGTGGTGCTGCACTAAAAATCCCTGCGCAAAGTTTAAATGACAGAAAAGTCTGAATTGCTACACACAAAGCCTGAAGGACTTAAGATGACTGACTTTCATGATTCATCTATTTCTAGGAAGATCAATAAAATGGAAGGAGTAAGCAATTTCTTTGCTACAGGAATGTTTCAAATTAATTCCACACTTGCTTCAGATATATACAAAATAACACAATTAAAAATATTCATAATGTCTCTTTTACTCTGTTAATACAGTAAATGAATACCTTGTTAATCCAGAATGGCTTTTCCTCTGTGTAATTTTTGTTGAACTTATTTGCCCAGTTTCCCTTGAAATAGATCGCATTCACCAAAACCAGTCTTGTAAGCGAATCAATTATTCCAGGGACAAGCAGATCCTGAATTTTTCCTTTGAAAGTTTTTTTTAAAAAAACTGCTTTAATTGAGAGATCAGATTTATTATTTCTGAACATCACTCACCTACCTTCTTTCTCTCTGTCTCTTTCTCTTTCTCTGTCTCCATCTCCGTCTTTGTCTCCGTCCCTCTGTCTCTCTCTCTCTCTTCATTTTAATTTAATTATTAGATTTCTCTCTTCAGGAGCTCAAGGCAATCACCCAGAGAACTCCTCTGACTGAGGATGGAATGTAGCTTTGGCTTCCTCAGGGCCAGTCCAACCTCCATCCACCCACCCTCCCTCCCTTAACATTTATATAGTTGCCCATCTTATATCATTATTTAGTAAGGTTACCACCAGGGGTGGGTTCTAAATGTTTTTACTACCGGTTCTGTGGGCGTGGCTTATTTTGTGGGTGTGGCTTGGAAGTCATGTGACTAGGTGTGCGTGGCTAGCTGGTCAGAGTCATTTCTGGGAGGTCCTCACACTTACGACCAGTCCTCGCAATTACGACCTGACTCATTTGTTTGCTTTTAACACTGATCAGCTGTAGGATGGCCCTTTGAAGCCCCGCGGCAGGAGTTTAAACAGTTTTTTCCCTCTAGTCATCAGCTGGGACTCAGGAGGCAGCAATAGATTGGGGGTGACCAAATAAAAGGTAAGAATAACGTGGGTGGGGGGTAGGAGGCGGGGGGGAGAACCGGTTCTGTGATGTCATATCGTCACTGCTACCGGCTCAGCCAAACCGGACTGAACCGGGAAGAACCCACCACTGGTTACCACACACATACAAGTTAAATAACAGGCAAGCTAAATAACGGAAATATGCTCAGATGTGTCCATCAATAAAACCAATAATCTATTCATGGCTAGAATTTCATCTCAGGTTTGATGAGCTTTTATGTAGCAAGTAATGGTTAACTATGGTGGGTTTGCCTGCCTTGTCTGTCTCTCTGACATGCACACACAATATTGCATGTCTTACTTAATGCAGCTACTAATTAACTCTTATTATCATTCTCACCTGATGTTTTTTCTTCTACCCAGGCATTTATATATCTTCTCGAATCTTCTGAAGCTTGTGTGAAGTTAAGTTTCTCCACACCTGCATGGTAGAATCTCTGAATGGATTCTATAAATGACTTAAGAAACAATGACATCTCAACAACAGAAGCAGTAATAAAAATGCAAATTGATTTTGTCTCATTTTTCTATGAACTAACAATCTGGAAACATTACTTATTACACTGAATATTACCTAAAACCAGCTAATGCCATTGGATAGTTAATACAGCCTAGAAATTATCAGATATTAGGAAGTATATGGAATTATTTTAAGATAACATAGTTTATTCAAAAATATATCTGGCAATTAAGGGTCACATGGTTCTATTTATGACTTTTATTTGAAAGTTTTATATTTAGAAACATCCCACTGGATGTTCCTGTAACATTCCCAGTAAAAGCAGCTAGACTTTTAAATTTCCCCTCCAGATAACTCAATGGACCAAGTAAAGCTATAGGAATATTTGGTACTTTATTAGAGCCAAACTGCAATTGCAAAGAGATAGGCAAACATTAGAACAAACAGAGCATTTATGGTTGTTTACAGCCAGATCTCCAACATGTATGTAACTTACTGGAAGAAAATCATATGATGTTTCTCCAAAGAGCTGGTTGACTAGACAGAGGCTATAATTGGCACCTGGTTTGTTGATATCAGAAATAAGTTTCTCAAATCTTTGGTGAACCTCTCCATCTTTGGGTAGAGATAGCGCCTATAAGATGATATTCGGTTAATTAAATTAAGTTTAACAACTATTCAAAATGTAATACCACAACAGCAGACCTTGGAAAACATACACATTTCAAACAATCTACATATTTCGGCAGTAAATTTTTTGAAGGATCACTGCAGATGAATAGCTTTTAAAGTTAATGGCTAATGAAAGCCAAACAGTATTGGGCCTAGTTAATATTTGGCTAGTTCTTGAACCCCAAGCTTACAGAGGAGGCTGACTTTTAAAAAAACCTTCCTTAAAGGCAACTGATTCCTCACTGTTGCCCCGGAAACTCATATAATATGGGTGTCCATAAAGTTCCTAAAATTTAAGCTTGACCTGACTTTATTGTACATGTTTGGGCTTCTCCATGTTTGAAAGTCGTAGTCATTGATCTCCTTTGAAAATCAATTTGATTGACACCCAAGAGAAATTGGGGATTTTCAGAAATGTTCCTTTCCTGGAAAAATAGATTTCTAAATCAAAAAGTGCAACTCCTCCATGTGTAAAATATTTTGTTAAGAAGCAGAAGGAACGTTCTTGTATTTGCTATAGGAGCCATCTTTAAAACATGTTTTGCCTTCTCTGTCATAATATTTGCTCTCTGAAACCATTTTGCCTCAGAGATTCAGGTTCCCCTCACCATGCCATCCTTCAAATGGTCCTTGAAGATCTGACTTCAAGATGATTTTGGGTTAATTGTGGTGAAAGGTATCTCTAGGATACACAAAAATGACTTTCCAAATCCTGGGACTTCAAGTTGAGGACTTTTGCCCGAAATAATACCATTTTCTAAGAGCCGTGGTGGCGCAGTAGTTAGAATGGAGTACTGCAGGCCAACTCATGGCTCACTTCAGGAGTTTGATTCTGAATGGCTCAATGTTGACTCAGCCCTTCCATCCTTCTGAGGTTGGTAAAATGAGGGCCCAGATTGTTGGGGAAAATATGCTGACTCTGTAAATTGCTTAGAGAGGGCTGTAAAGCACTATGTAGTATATGAATATTTCCATAATCAGCAGTTGCCATAATGACCTTGAAGAAGTCAAGCACAGAGGGATGAATCCCTATCAGACTTCCTATACATGCTGTTTACTTAAGGTGACCAGATTTTAACATTGGTAAAGAGGGACATTGTGGGCGTGGCTTATTTTGTGGGCGTGGATATCTGGTCATGTGACTGGGTGGGCGTGGCTAGCTGGTCATGTGACTGAGTGGGCGTGGCTAGCTGGTCATGTGACCGGGTGGCCATGGCTATGTGTATAGGGTAAGGTGAACAGATTTTAACATTGGTAAGAAGGACACCATTGTGGGCGTGACTTATTGTGTGGGCGTGGCTTGGAGGCCATGTGACTGGGTGGGCGTGGCTAGCTGGTCATGTGACCGGGTGGCCATGGCTATGTGTATAGGGACTACTCAGAGGGCTGAAAAGTCATTTCTGACAGGTCCTCACACTTTTGACTGGTCCTCACACTTATGACCATCCTCACATTTATGCCCGTGCAGTATTCTTAACAACCATGTCACTCATTTCACAACTGCTTCTCTTCACCATGGTGACAAGATAGGGCAAAAATGTAAAATGTGAGGACAGTCGTAAGTTCGAGGACTGGTCAAAAGTGTGAGGACCAGTCAAAAATAACTTTTTCAGCCCTCTGAGTAGTCCATATGCATTAAAGGATACAGCAATAGAGAGGGATGAAGGAATGGAAATTAGAGTAGGAGTGAGGTAAGAGAGGGAGGAAGAGAGGAGGAGAAGGAGAAAGGAAGAGGAAAGTAGGGAGGAGAAAAAGAGGGTGGGGGAAGAGAAAGTAAGAAGGAAAGAAAAGAGAGTGGTGGTAGGTTTGAGGAGAAAGATTGCTGTACAATAAAAAAGATGAAAGGGAAGAAAGCCAACCCCAAGCAAATATAAAGATATTAAGATAAAGAATGAATTGTTAAACTTTAAAGAATAAAAAGAGAACAAATATGAATAAATGGCAATAATTAGAAACACACATACAAACATACAATGTATTTTCTTTGAACAGAATATTTGGCTGGTTCACAAATTTAAACAGTGTTTAGTCATTTCAATTAAATTTACAATTTCTATATTTCCTTTTTGCCATATTTATTCCTCATCTATTTTTTTAAAAAAAACAATATTACCCTTCATCCTCATCTCTAATCTTAATCAAATTCAATTTTTCCCTTCTATTCTATATTATACCCCTTCCCATGTCATCTATTTTTATATCCATCCTCACATTGGTTAATTATGTAATTATGTAATACAGTTGTTTAATACAAATTCAACATTTTAATATAAATCAATTAGTTTATATAACTATCTTTTTTGTATATTAATCAATATGAACATGAATATTTCAATTATTTCCATGCAATCCAATTTCTTACAAATCAATTAATTATATTTACCAATAATAATAAACCAAATAATTTCCCCCATATATTCCTCCAAACCACAACTTAACCATTTCTGCTTTCAACACAATATACAATTATTAATAGTATCTCAATTATTACAATTCCCTAGTTAAATAGAGCTTTTTTTCTTTTGTGTTTTAAAATCTTGAACTCTCCTCTTTTGCCCAAAATTTCCCATTGTTTGCAGTTTTGTACCTACCTTTTTTGGTGAGGAAAAGAAAAAGAAAAAAGAAAGAAATCTCTCTCTGCCTCATTTTGTCACGTTGCAGGTTTAGTTTCGCTTTCGCGCTTGTTTTCAGTATAGCTAGGGGAAAAAAATCTGCTCCAGAACTTTTTGCAGCTTTTTGCAGCTAATTAACCTAGCGGAAGCTGTTAACAGGGGCTGTTTTTTCTATTTTTGCAGGCATGGGTCTATTCATTTTTTTTAACACTGATCAGCTGTAGGTCGGCCCTTTGAAGCCCCGCGGCAAGAGTTTAAAGAGTTTTTTTTCCCTCTAGCCATCAGCGGGGATTCAGGAGGCAGCCGGGACTCAGGAGGCAGAATGAAAAATCGGACTTTTTAAAACGCCGCGGGACGCGGGACAAATTTCTCAAAAGCGGGACTGTCCCGCCAAAAGCGGGACGTCTGGTCACCTTATGTTTACTTTCCATGCAAACAGAATCCCAAATCTGGATGAGAATTGGGAGCAGAGTTAAAGAATCTTGATAATAATGGCATCTCTTGTACTTGTTGCATTTTTAAAAAGCTAATCAGACAGTTGGCAACTGCATGAACAGCATCATCTTAGGGCGGCAGCCAGGTTGAGGTGATAGGTGTGCTTGGAACTTTTTAGACCAGATGATATATTAGCTGCCCCAGTTAATAGAACAGAAAGAATAACAGAGTTGGAAGGGACATTGGAGGTCTTCTAGTCCAACCCCCTGCTCAGGCAAGAAACCCTACAGCACTTCAGACAAATGGTTATCCAACATCTTCTTAAAAACTTCCAGTTTTAGAGCATTCACAACTTCTGGAGGCAAGTTGTTCCACTGATTAATTGTTCTAACTGTCAGGAAATTTCTCCTTAGTTCGAGGTTGCTTCTCTCCTTGATTAGTTTCCACCCGTCGCTTCTTGTCCTACCCTCAGTTGCATGATTGCAAAATGGGCATTGTATAAACTTCATAAATAAATAAAATAGATGTTCTCATAATTGGCTAGCAAGGGTGAGGACAAGATCACAGCCAACCCCCCTTTTTTTTCTTTTTGATAAAATGTATCTTAATATACCTTTAATATCTGAGCTTCTGTGTTATTTCTGGCACCCAACGAGACCATTAGCAGTGCAGAAGACAAACTCAAAGGAGAAAAAAACAAGTTTTGGGAAGAATCATTTCCAGTAACCTTCTTGAAGATGTTGAGGACAAAATTGATGTTTGCTGCAGAAATGCTGTCCATGTTTTCGAGCCTGGAGAACAAATACAGTATGATAAACCACAGATTAACGCCTAGATAATGAGATGACCAAAACATCCCACCCATGTTCTACTTGATTGTTCTACTTGAACAATTATTCCACTTGCTTTAAGGAATGTGATTTACAGGATCTAGTGGACAAAATATAAGGGAACTATGAACCCCACTTCCAGATTCATATATAATTCCAAAAATTCCAAAAAAATTAATAATTAAGGTTACATTTCCTCTACCTAATACTTGAACCTTTTCTTGGTTAGCTACCTTAATTACAAATTTATCTTCTGCAAATGAAGACAATATATTTTTGTTATTAGTGGTGTGATTAGTTGCTCCAGAATCAATAAGCCAATTATTGTTCTCACTTTGCTGTGTGTTAGTGTTGTCTTGTTTATTTAATCCATTCAGTGAACCAGATTTTCTATCCTTTGAATTGTCTCTGCCCCCTCTATTCTCTCTGTGATTTGGTGGGCTCCTATATCTATGCCTTTCTATGGAAGGCTGTCTATAATCGTATTTGTTTCTGTATTCTGATCTATATCTTTCTTTTAAAAATTTTGGGCAATCTCTTCTATTGTGTTCCCTGGATCCACAATTATGACATTTAAATGTTCCACTATATTTTTCTTGGAAAGCTACTTTCCTATATGGTTTGTGTTCTGTGTGATAGTTAGAATGATTCCTTCTTGAATTATCTTCTGTTATCAATTTGTTGGATAGACTTTCTATGGATAAATATCCTAGATTGATTGTGTCTAAATGTGACATAAAATTGTCCCATGATGGATCAAGTGAGTTGATAATAACACTTTTCATTGTTTGGTCTGAAATCACCTCCCCCCTCAAATGCAGTTCAGCTCTTATTTTGTTCAAAGATATTAAATGCTCACTTATGGAAACCCCTGGTTTTACCCTAGATGAAAAGAAATCTTTAGATATCCTTGTGGTGGTAGCTACACTGTCACTGTGAAACAAATTAAACATACACTGAATAATTTCTGAAACAGTCAAATTTGGCTTAATGCTGTGATACATTGCAGGAGACACACTAGATATTATTAAGAAAAAAGCTCTATGGTATAAACAATCTATTTTTAGAGTCCAAGGTCTTTTTGGGGGACTAGTGATAAAAAACAGTAGGTTTTCCTTCATAAATACAACCTGTAGCTGTTGATACCATTCTTGTAAATTAATGCCATCAACCCTTAATTTTGGGAAGTCACTGGGTAAATTTCCGACATTATTGGGTCCATTACTTACAACCTGAGGTAGTCCGTGGTCTCGTAAATGCAGAAAATTGCAAAACGGCGTGGGGATGCTCGCTACGAGTCTGCATGGTCTTCTCTCCAGTTCATGTCTTCCCGGACCGTCTGCGTAGTTTCGCGCATGCGCGTTGTCCATTTCTTCTTCGGCGTCGTCATGGAAGGTTCTCCCCATTGCGGCTTGCTCGCTCTGCTCCTCTTCAGACGAGTCGGTCTCTGGTTCGATTTTGGTAGTCCTGACGACGGTGGCTGTTCTTCCTCTTTTATTGAGGGCGTTGGTGCTTGCTTCGGTCTGCGGCGTAGGGCGGTATCGGCAGGGCTCTCTGGGTTTGGGCGTCAGCGCTCTCGTAGTCAGGATGGGAGCGGGCAGGTCTTGAGGCATTGGCTTGCTCGCTCGTTTCTTCGGTATCTTTTTAGTAATTTTCAGTTTTGGCCCAAATGCAGCAAAGAGTGTTTTCATTGCTGATTTTATTTGATGTTTTGTTGAATCGTCCTCACTTTCTGGTTCTGATTCTTCTGAGGTGTCTGAATCTTCTTTTTCGTTTTCGTTGTCTGATAACGTTTTTCGCGCCAGAAATTTTGAATTGAGCTTGCTGATTGGCTCTGCTTCGCTCATCTTGGAGGCCTGTTGAAACCAAGATGGCTGCCATTCAAATTTTCGCGCGGGATCACCGTTTTTCTTCTTTGTAATGATTTTCTCCGCAGTCATATCACTTACTATTTTTGGGTCTTTAGGCTTTTCATTAGTGATGTTTTTCTCTCTCGCTGCTCCGCTGTTCTTCAGCATATCTTGGAGGTTCGCGATGAGGCTTTCATCATTCTTCTGGCTTTTTAATAGTTTTAATATCTCTGACCTGAGTTCGTTATTCTCTATTTCGATTTCCTCCTGGTCATCAATTATTTCTTCGTCTTCAGTGGTGTATTCTTCGGACTCTCTCGAAATTGCGTTTGTGGATTCGTTGATTATTTCGTGTTCCGTTTCCATTTCTTTGCTGTAGGCCCTGGTGTTGGGCCTATCTTTCTTAGACATTTTTAAGTTTTTTTTTATTGAGTCAATTAACCATCCTCTGCTACCAGCTTGTTGCAATATTTTCTGGATCAGACTCAATAAGATTAGCAAGAGTTAAAGATTTAACTATATATTCTTTTATTTACAATAGGCATTCTATATTCACTGAATATTCACAGATAGAAGCAAGGGAAAGGGTGTAGGTAGCTCCTTATATATACAATGGGTGGAGCTATATGTGGGAGTGGTGAATTATGAATACATTAAGAAGTGAAGAATAAGTTAACCCCTGATACCCTGTTTGTACACTATTTACACATTAGAGAATAAGGCATTTACATCTGACATGATGAATAGAGATTTCATCCCACCATGGCCATTTTAACATCTTTCAACATAGGAAAAAAACCCTGATTGCAAAAATATCGCACATTTATACCTATGAATCAAAAGAAATAAATATTTGACCTCTACAGGGAGGAGTCACAAAATATGGGTGTGTCTGGCTGAAGAGGCCTAAAAAGGCCGAAATAGTGCTATCCCAGTCTCCCATAAGTCACAGAAGAAACAACATAAAATTTCTGACAGGTCTGAAAGTGATGAATAGAGATTTCATCCCACCATGGCCATTTTAACATCTTTCAACATAGGAAAAAAACCCTGATTGCAAAAATATCGCACATTTATACCTATGAATCAAAAGAAATAAATATTTGATCTCTACAGGGAGGAGTCACAAAATATGGGTGTGTCTGGCTGAAGAGGCCTAAAAAGGCCGAAATAGTGCTATCCCAGTCTCCCATAAGTCACAGAAGAAACAACATAAAATTTCTGACAGGTCTGAAAGTGATGAATAGAGATTTCATCCCACCATGGCCATTTTAACATCTTTCAACATAGGAAAAAAAACCCTGATTGCAAAAATATCGCACATTTATACCTATGAATCAAAAGAAATAAATATTTGACCTCTACAGGGAGGAGTCACAAAATATGGGTGTGTCTGGCTGAAGATGCCTAAAAAGGCCGAAATAGTGCTATCCCAGTCTCCCATAAGTCACAGAAGAAACAACATAAAATTTCTGACAGGTCTGAAAGTGATGAATAGAGATTTCATCCCACCATGGCCATTTTAACATCTTTCAACATAGGAAAAAAACCCTGATTGCAAAAATATCGCACATTTATACCTATGAATCAAAAGAAATAAATATTTGACCTCTACAGGGAGGAGTCACAAAATATGGGTGTGTCTGGCTGAAGAGGCCTAAAAAGGCCGAAATAGTGCTATCCCAGTCTCCCATAAGTCACAGAAGAAACAACATAAAATTTCTGACAGGTCTGAAAGTGATGAATAGAGATTTCATCCCACCATGGCCATTTTAACATCTTTCAACATAGGAAAAAAACCCTGATTGCAAAAATATCGCACATTTATACCTATGAATCAAAAGAAATAAATATTTGACCTCTACAGGGAGGAGTCACAAAATATGGGTGTGTCTGGCTGAAGAGGCCTAAAAAGGCCGAAATAGTGCTATCCCAGTCTCCCATAAGTCACAGGAGAAACAACATAAAATTTCTGACAGGTCTGAAAGTGATGAATAGAGATTTCATCCCACCATGGCCATTTTAACATCTTTCAACATAGGAAAAAAACCCTGATTGCAAAAATATCGCACATTTATACCTATGAATCAAAAGAAATAAATATTTGACCTCTACAGGGAGGAGTCACAAAATATGGGTGTGTCTGGCTGAAGAGGCCTAAAAAGGCCGAAATAGTGCTATCCCAGTCTCCCATAAGTCACAGAAGAAACAACATAAAATTTCTGACAGGTCTGAAAGTGATGAATAGAGATTTCATCCCACCATGGCCATTTTAACATCTTTCAACATAGGAAAAAAACCCTGATTGCAAAAATATCGCACATTTATACCTATGAATCAAAATATATATACATACATACATATACATATACATATACATATACATACATATATATATAGTTTTGTCTTTGCATATAATATGTGCTTAATGAACAGTGTACTGTCTGAATCAATTCATTTACATAGTAATACTTCTTAGGTTCCTAATTTCTACCCCTGTTGTCCAACCACTGACAAGTTCCAAGTTTGAAAATACTATGTCTTCTTTTTCTTTTATCTTCAGTGTTAATCTGTCCATTTCTGCACAGTCCAATATTTTTTAAATTATATCTTCTTCCATAGGAGTTTCCTTGCTTTTCCAATGTTGTTCAAATACAATTCTTGCTGCATTTAAAACATGTAATATCAAATACACATTCCCTTTATCGTATTTTTCTGGTATTATGCCTAACAAAAATAGTTCTGGCTTAAAATATACATGCTGTCTTAACATTTTTTTCTAACCACATATGCATTTTCGCTCAAATTTTTGTTGCTTTTGAGCATGTCCACCACAGGTGATAATACTGTTATGTGCCCAGTTTTTTTATTACATTTCCAACATTTGATGGACATATATTTGAACATTTTTGCTAGTCTCGCTGGTGGTGTCACCTATAAAACATTTTATACAAGTTTCCTTTATAAGTGGTTGCCATCTTCAATTTATAGTTTCTTTCCCAGAGTTTTTGCCAGTTGTCTAGTTCTATATTATATCCAAAAAAAAATTGCCCATACTATCATTGTTTCTTTCACCTGTTCGTCTTCTATTTTTAGGCTTAGTAAAGTTATA